AACCAAAACGACTTGTTTTGATTAATTTTTTATTCTAACAGTTGAATTCATGAGTCTATCTAAGCTAACCATCTTTGAAAACCTCGAAGCACTAGAAGGTCGTTTCTTCCTAGTACGTGACTCCTCAACAGCGTGTATCCACGATCTCACACGCAGGATTCGAATTCAGGACCCTCAATCGGGAGTGACAGTTATCCACCGTAGACAATGGATGAAGAATTGTGTAAGATCATGTATCGATTGAAGTTACACATTAATACCGTTGGATGCCTGCTCAGTGGTCTAGAGGTTAGGTGTTCACGCACGAAACCGACGGTTCTGAATTCGAGTCCCGCGTTGAGGACCGTGAATGCGCACTGCTGTGGAGTCCCATACTAAGACGAAACACCTGTCCGGTGCTTTCAAGTCTTCAAAGGTGGTCTATCTGAGATCGGCTCGTGAATTCAACTGTGAAAATATTACAATCTACAGAAATCCCTAGTGATAATTTTTCATTCTACGAAAATGAATATGACAAACAATTAACTGATATTAGAAAAAAAAACATTCCCAAGACTAATAAACAAATTTGATACTAATATTTCATACAACCCCCCCCCCTAAACAACTATTTAAAAAAATAATAAATGAGTAAACCATTTCAATAAACTCAATTATACACATAACAACTGACAAGAATCGAAAGAAAATGTTGAAACATCACATGTGTTAATAAGATGAAATATAATTGTCAATACATGAAAAGTATTAATTATATCAATTTAAGATAAGAAACTATCATTATCGTAAGTGTAATTTGCATATGGATTGTTTCGTTGATGTATGATGGATAATAATTATAGTATCTTTTTTTTAAAGATTGATAAATGCAAAGAATTCCATTTTGAGATGGTAGAGAGATGTGTAGCTCAGGTGGATGATTTTAGTGGAGTTTTGTTCTCTGAGCTGGATGGTTTGGTCGTGGAGCTTTCGTCGTTCTTCTGAACGACATCATCAGCACAAACTTCAGTTCAGAAGAACAATAAAAGCTCCACGACCAAACCATCCAGCTCAGAGAACAAAACTCTACCGAAGAATTCCATTTTAATTGAATATCAAATAAGAACTAAGAATTCACTAAGGATAAGAATTAGGAAAGATAAGAATAGTAGCAGTTCATTTTTATAAACATAGTGTTCTCAATACGAATTGATGTTGATTGAAAACTAGAGAGCATTGAAAGATTATTTTGTTTCATGTTCAAATCACTTTAACAGTGTATACCTGCAACTCAACATAAAAGATTATTATAAACCGTTTCTAATTATGTACATATACAATCACTCTTGGTATGGACAGGTGAAAAAAAATCTATTAAATAAATAAATCATTGTATGTACCATTGATTGATCAATGGGTAGTGACCAATGTCATATGTTTGAAGTTCTTCTTAGTGCAGATCGAACTCTATTAACCAAATTGCAATGTGACCACTAGTCTAGGTGAATTGACATCACGTGTACTGTGTCGAGAAGTGGAGGTGGTGGTTGAAAGTAGTCAACAGGATATCATGGACCTAAGTTTTGTGCTATTTAGCACTCGTCATTAAGATGTACCTGTAAATTTTGAGGGAACGGATGTTCCCTGGTGGATTCGATCCGGTGTCGCCCATCTTCACAGTCTAAGATATTACTCTTGAGCTACTTAGGTAGCAAATGACCGCTTGTAGGACTGAGATATTTATAACTGATTAATCACTGAGTAGTGACTAATGTGATGATTATCTAACTCTTAAGTGAAAATTGAATTCCACTGACCAAATTTTTATCATTGTGATTTCTAATGGCTTTATTCAATACTATATATTTAGTACAACATAGAATTCTCAGCATTATGACCATTGGTCTAGAAGACTCAAAATCACGCGTACTGTGTTAAGATGTTAGTAAAGACCTTCAAACATATTGTTATCAATACGACACCTATCTATTTTACAACAATACATTAATCTATATATATGTTAAATGACTATAAATACGATTGTGTAAGTTTAATAGACGACAATATAGAAATTACTGAAACCATTTATCATACTGAAAGACTAGTACTAAAATACTAGTCTTTTAATATGACGGAGATCTTTAAACATTTATTATACATTCACAGTTATATAATATACCCTTGTGAGCCAGGGTAATTTTACATTGGTTTTCAGGAGAACCAGACACTATCCGGACTTTCATGTGACAACCCAAACAGTACAGCTGCTCAACCCCGTTTAGCAGGGGAACCAGACACCGTATAGGCTTTAACGCTACACAATCTGAATAGTACAGCTCAATCCTGTGGCGCAACCACACATGTACCAAGCACCCTGGTGGACCATTTATTATACAGTAGGTATTGAAAATAATATGAATTGTTAGAACTAGAAGGAATACATAGAAATACAAATGAAATTCTATTTAAAATAATTTCGATAGAGTTCAAAATAAATCACTGAAACTATTACTCAATGTTATTAGAAAGTAAATATCTTCGTTCAAATAGCCATGGACAAGATGTACAATTCACATACAATGTTGATGAATATGAAAAACTTGACTATGAACCTTGATAGTTTTTCTAGCAGTGGTAGATACATTTTGACATGAAACATTAACACATAAACAAAACATCATTCTGTAATAAAGATTTAGTTTCTACTTAATCACTTTTTATTGTTGTTATGATTGATTAGATTACTTAAATCAATGTAGGAATAGGAGGTCAATTATTCGAGATTTGATGTAGGTGAGAATTTCAAATGATTCTAAATGATATAATGGAATTTGATTCATTTGAATATGATTTTATTCATCTTATAATGCTAAATCTTACATATTTCATCATCCCATTTTGTTTAGTTTAAGCGAAAACTTGGTAAGCAAATGAATCGACATAAAAAGCATAGTAATACAAAAGAACAAATGAAAGATGATGTAATCAAAGTGAAAATTATTCATATCATGTTTATTCAGAAAGTTTCCACCACTTAATCATATGACTTTTATTTTAAATTATATTCACGTATTTCAAGTTAGTCACAGTTACATAATCTCTAATAATTTCAGCCCAAGCAGTTCAGGAAAAGAAGAAGACCAAAGAACACATTACGCCGGGAAATGGAGATAGACATGAGAAAAATGAACAAGAATTGAATGGAACTAGAAAAGAAGGCCCAGGACAGAGTGGGTTGGAGAATGCTGGTCGGCGACCTATGTTCCATTAGGAGTAACAGGCGTAAGTAAGTCAGTCAGTCAGTAACAACGTAGAACTTCGTACGTACGTACATCAGTTCGAGTTGCCACACCACTTAGCACAGAGATGCAGTTGTCGATTCAAATCCCGTAGTGTAGAGTGTACCGCATGCAACGTTATATATACTCAAATACTAGTAACCTACGAATATCCTCTACTCTTACCGGCCATGTTTCACTACCATAAAGTAGGACGGAACGAACTGCTGCACAGTAAACACGTCCTTTGGTTGATAGACGGATATCTCGCCTACGCCATAAATGACGCAAGTTGGCAAAAGCTAGTCAGGACGTTTCGATATATATTAAAACAACTATACTTTATATTACAATATTATTTCATAGGCTGACTATTTCTACTCTTCTTCGTAACAGTGAAATTTATCTAAGGAATTTTAACTAGTGTAAAATTAATTCTTCCCACGTTTTCATACATTCCTTTTAGTATATTAGTAAGAGGTAAGAGTGATGCCCTACATTGCTCGGTTTGTATACATGAGTTCGCATCAAATCTTATGAAAATCACATTAATGTCAGATTTAGAATCTTATAAGTGATAATTTCCACCTCTATTTGACTTTTATTTACCATTACTTTACAAAATTAAACACTAGTTATCCGTCATTATCAAGCAAGTAATTATTTGATTGGACCTTATGGTTAATTGAATATACAAGTGATATATATCTGTCTAAACTCCAGAAAGAATTTACATATACAAAGATGAATTATTATTAAAGATCTAGCTAACTGTCATTCTCCATTGAATTAAATTACAAAAATAATAAACGGAAATCTATATTTTTACTTATTATTATTAGTAGTAGTATTATCAGTACTATTATCATAAATTGGTAGAATATTTTTATGGTTAACACGAGTTGAAAAATGACAACAACCACGACTATGTATTTATCAAAGTGGTATGGCAATGAATGAATCTGATCTAGGTTGTCATATTTTACTAGTGTGTATGATAATATATGTGTACAGATAGCAGTGTAAATATAAAGTGATTTCAAGCATTGTAGAAGTAAGCATATATATTCATTGTAACAACATAGTATAACGTACTGTTTATTGTATGTATATATATACCTGGTCTGAAAATGTTTATAGTTATACTCCAATATATTATGAAGAACTAAAAGAAACTATAAAGCAGAGAACAAATTCATTTTGTGGGCCATTTTGGCAATACTATACCTGATAAGTCAGCAATTTCGAACTTGATATAAAATCAGCTTCGCTATCTCAAATACTGGATCGTATTCTAGAGAACGATCGATCTGTATTGGAAAGAAGTTTATCCTTTACTGTGATATTTGTTACAATGATTAATATTAAATACTGAAAGCCAACTCTGATGACTATGCACCTAATTCGGGGAATGATCAACATATAAAATGATATAAAACCAGTTTTGATGAAATGAGATTTTATCCTTGTCAGCTAACAGAAAAGTAATGTAACTTAGTAACAAAGTACATATTCGTGAAGTCTATTACACGCCATACTCTTCATGTGACAAACTAGTGATGACAACTGGTTTTCAAACCAAGATATCCAAAATGGAGTTTGAAACTACGACCTAATAATTATAGGAATTATTTACCAATACTACTCGCAAACTGAGTGAAATCTAGATTTATATATAAGTAAATCATAGATTTTTCACTTAAATATATAAATTGATGCAAAATAAAAGAATACATTGCATACCTGCATATATTGGATATTGTCTGTCTGTTAAGTTATCCCATAAGTAAGTTGGAGCTAAGACATACAAAGGACTAGCCCCGATCCCGGCTAGCAGCATTGCAAAACAAAAAGTTGGAAAGAGAACAGACTGAACAATGTCACTACTTCCCATAAATCCTGTGCTTGATGATTCATTAATATCATTACTATTAAAATTATCAGCAGCAGTGAGTGGGGCAGCACGAATAATTGTGTCACCGACACTAGTTTGATTATTAAGTGAATTGGAAATAACATTCTTAGGAAAGGTATTGCGCGATTGATCGACACATAGTGGTCCATCCAACTGAATTGAATTTTCTAAGTCTTGATTAAGAGGAAAAGACGACAGAGAGGAATGGATGATATCTTCAGTACTAATACTAGTAGCAGTATTACCATCAGGAGTAGTTGGTAAGTTTGGTCTGTAGGGACCAGCTAAAAAGTGAGGCAATGCAAATAATCCAAATCCAAGAGCCAGGATCAATGTCGCCAAACCAATAACACGTAATCGATTATGTTTCTGACCGCTAATAAAGCTAACAATCACTGTGGTTATGACACCGGCTACTTCATAACAACTTATCATAGAGCCAATTTGTCGACTAGTTAAATTAAATCTTCTTTCCAATGTAGTAAACATACTACTCATCAGACCAGATACAACCATAGTTTGCATAAACATAGTTAAACATAATCCGATTAATACAACACGTGGATTAGCACAGGTTTGTAGACAAGGGCATAAACAAGAAGTATCATCTTTTGCAGTTGTAGTTGTCTCATGAGTTTCTGCATCACGCGCGCATATAAACGAATTTTCTAATGTAATATCATTAGATGAACGTGGAGGTGTTAGACAAGGATAAGCTTCGGGTTTATTTTCAGGAATGAATGAAGTATCCGGAATCTTATATTCACCTGACACCACAAGATTTTGTTCGGCAGAACCATCCCAATTATAAGATGGTCTTTCAGTTAACTGGTCAAGAATAAGAGGTTTTGTGACAATACGGAAATCCCAACCAGATGTAGGATCGCTGATATTGCGAGCATGGCCTAAAATACGTTTAGAATAATATGGTGGAGGGGCTTGATAATCATTTGGATGATTAAAAACATTAGCATATGGAACTCGACCACTTGTAATTTGATTATCAGGATAACGACCGAATCCAACTGTTGTAGCTGTAGATAAATTTCGGCGATGCTGACGTCTAAAATGATTCGGTTTATCAAAGCCATACGTTGCACTAGATGAAGTTCGTCGAACTAGACCAGGATGCAAGCAAGTTGATATAAAATTTACTACATTTGTATCCCAATCAATCGGACATGAAGTATCACAAATCTCATCACCTACGGCATAGCCAGAAGACGGTCCTGATGTTGCTCTTGATAAATGTGGAGTAGGCATGAGAATGAGTAGCTAATACATTGGAAAACAGGAAATTATATCCAACCAGACAAAAATAAGAAGAATAAATAACTCATTTTCTGAATCATGCAGAACGTGTAAATAAAACCTGTTGAAGCAAATAGAGATAGAATGTAAGTATGCAACTATTATTTAAACCAATAAAAAACAATACAGAAATTTATAAAATAAGATTACATTTTTAAACATTACGAATGAACAGTTATAAAAGCTGAGTGTTTTGTCACTAAGTAGCTACGTATGGGTCCGTGTGTAATGTATTTAATTTATAGATGGTGACTAGTGATACTAACCGACTATTTATTTTATTAAAACACACAAACATTAATACAAAGAAGCACAAAATATATATGCGCCACACTTTGTCATTAGATTTGTATGAGGGCTGAAATACTTCCTGGGCACCCAAACCGCTTAAGCCTACAAAGGTTTGAGTTTGAAATTCAATGGCTGAAAGTTCAGAGCAAAGAATGAAGTCTACATCAAAGCACAAAGATATGTAAATGGTTTTTTGAGTTATAGCAAATACCTTCAAAGTCCTTCCAAAAGGGTCAGCCGTCTTGGACACCACAGCCACTTAGCACTAATGAACACTCAGTATAAAACGCTTGACCTTTTATAATAATAAAAGCTTTAGGTACAGTTCATTTTTGACATTCTCCGGACTACAATTAATAAGTGTATAAACAGAAATTACAGATATGTTAGTATCAGTTTGTTTCACTTAAATATAAAACTACATTTGTGGTATGCTCATGGTACTTGTTACTTCGTAACTGTGCAACAAAATAGCCGGCAAGTTTATTAAGTGACTGTAACCAAATGGTTTATTCCGACTACATATGTCGAGACAAAAGTTAGTCCCAATAGTTAGGTCTTAATTTATTGCAGATGAACAGACCTACAAAGTCGATATCCTCCAACTATGTGATACATAATTACAATCATCTTTTTACTAAGATTTTGTGTATAAACATGTTACTTCATCGGAAGAAACATACTACACTGCGTATCTGTTCTGTCTTCTGGTGTCAGTTCATTGGGAACTTAAGCCAATGGTTCTGAATCATGAAGTTATTACTTTGCCACGTTGTACTATTGTGTATCATCTGTCGATTAGCCCTGTACCTATTAATCTAATAATCTTCGAATGTCCCTCATTACAAATAAAAAAATCCCTATCCATAGTAGAAACAACAGTTGAAGAGTAAACCTGATAACTGCCTAGTCATCACTCTAGACAGAGATGGGTGGTGGCTAGTAGTGGAAGTCAGGACGCGCGTTTCATCCTATTACGGACTCGTCACCTGGACGTACCTGCATCCCGAAGTTGTCTACCCCGGGAATCGAACCCAGTACCTGTCGCTCCAAATGTCACTGCGGTATCCACTCATCTACTGAGTCCAGATAGCCATTGACTCATGTAATGGGATGAAGTCTAATTTGTTTGTGTCGGTTGTTTGAATTTCGCAACTGATATTTAGGACTGCAAGTGAACTCTGGGATGCTGGTACATCCAAATGGCGAGTTCCAAATAGGATCAAACGCGTGTCCTGAATTCCACTGTTAGTTACTATCCATCATTACATAAAAAATGCTTGTGGTAATTATGAGGCAATCTTCACAGAATGCACATATGCCAAAAAAATTCGAAACAATTGAGGTCGTAAACATTTATGGAGAGATCTAAACAACCAATTCAAATAAACTACTTAGTCACCAATTGATTTAAATAAAACTAGACGGCTCCAGATAGTTTACAGAAATTAGCACCTACTCTAGAAGTCTAGAAGTGCACTTTTCTACTGTTGCTAATGTTTTACACTTTATGTAGGATACCTAGCCAATTGAATATACTCACTTTGGACAATCAAAATTCATTGAATGAACAGTGATGACCTGTAAACTAGGGGTGACTTACCGGCATGGGACAGCTTGGTTGAAACACATATAATAGAAACAAAGGATATTCAAAATAATTCTTGTGACTTAGTTTACTTATTCATTTGAACACATAAATATTGGTACAAAGGGGCACCGAATACATATGCGTCACACAAGTCACTTGATTTAGTATATAGTTCGAGTTCTTATTGGTGTTCTAAATACTTATGTCCTAAGTTTAAAAAATCGGGGCTATTTCTGCTATATACTAGATCTGAACCAGAAATTCGATATGCCAACAAATTCTGAACGTTTGAATTTTTTCAACGCATTTTGTTACTAACTATTTACTTTGTCTCTTAAATATTTAATTTATCGTGTTTTCACAATCATAAAGATTATGGTGAACTTGAAATCGGTCAGAAACCCAAACTCGGATCATACCAAAACTAGTAACTGATAGCATCACTTTTACGTGGCATACTTTCAAAGCATTTAAGGTACTTCAACTCCGCTATCTGAAATGCCATTACATAACCTCTACATCGTTTTGTAACATAGTTCAACGGTCTTTAGACTTTTGAACCGTGGGAAATGAACGAAGTTCATCTACCAGGTAACTTGTAGACTAAACAGTGTATGTTTGCACAACAAGTCATTATCGTTTTACTAAATATTACTTTTCCATTTACATTTGACATCCATGTTACACATATTATCTGCCTATATTTTGCTTTTAAAACCTGATATACCATAGTCGTTTTGCACTTTAAAACCACTTATTTCCATTATTTTCAGCTTAATTCAGAACCAACGTTTAGCTTTGTATCGTTAGAGTAACAATTGATGAGGATATAAATAGCTAGTAACAGGTAGAATGGTTCTATTGAACTAATGAAAAGATTACACAGGACCTGAAAGTTGAAATACAAAAGATCATTTTATCACGCCATACCTTATAGCTTGAGATCAGTAAAACCCGCCGGACCTACAAGTAAATCAAATCCTTGCGTCCGAGCGCAATGTAACCAAAATAGCATGAACAAATAACGGATCAATTGAACCCCTACACTGTTCGATTTCGTAGTTCTTCACTGTGGTCGTGGCCTACTTAGTATCAAGCGTGCAAAAAGAAAAGACATTCCTGTATGTTAGAAGCTTCAATTGCCTAATGAATACCTCTCCTATTTGTAAAAATGAATGAGGACGGAGTAATGAAAAGTTTGGAACTGCATAGGAAAAAGACATACCAAGGATCTTATTTACCTGTTTGATTTGGCGGAGAAAAATTCGAGTTGGGTTATTCATTCACCGACGCTTTGCTTCACTTTGACAGGCTGAATAAACAATCTAAAGAATGTAGTAGCGACTGATAAAAAAATAACAAGCAATAACGTAGTTAAGAATAGTAAATCAGTCTCCAGAGAACATAAAGTCAGTTTTAAAAAAGCTGTGATTTTCGAATTCGTGTATTAGCTCTTCCGTGCATATTTTATTATCTTTGCCTGGGATTGTTTCGTTTAGAGTTAAAACTTTTAGAGATCTTTTACGTTGCTTTTTGAAAATGCTTAGATATTTAATTGATAATTTCTGTCATTGTGCTGAACTTCACGCAGTTTATATTATTATTTTGACTAAGTCTTTCCACAGGATGAACTTTTTTGCAAACTTCTAGCGATCAACTTTGTTCATGTGTGTGAGCGGTGGGATTTGTTCCCTAGTACGGTTAGAATGCCATGTGATAATTGTGGCGAATCCTAACATACGACGTCTACTTAATTAACATGGTGCATTTAAGAACCTCCCTAGCCTAGATCTTACTGCCTCTGCATATTTTGGTGTTTAAGCCAGATATTGCTGATTCGAAATGTCATTCAAGTTGCTGAAAGCAGAAGTAAAAATTCGCTTATAAATAGTAAAACCCATGTGATTATTGCAAGGACGACTACGGGAATGGTGGTACGAATTCAACTGAGAAGTCCCTGATGGTGGACGTGAAAAAAGGAGTCCCCCAAGTAGGCGAATCGCTTGCAGGTAAGGTTGACTACGAAGTTATTTCGTGTGGAGGTCTTCATAGAATCGTCAAAGGCTCGAAGTGTTATGGCATAAAAGTCTCAGACAAACGGTCACGGAAGTCGATGGGCAAAAGTATAAAAGTGACTTTCGATCGACCAGTTCACTTTAGATTACACTAGGTGCTGTATAGAAAGTAGCTGTAGCCTAATACTGTGTTTTATTGGGCTTGGCATAAATCGCATAGACCTGTCCACCGTTTCAATATAAATCAAATATCTACGTCGGGCTCAATAATTACTCATAGAACATAAGATGAATTTTCTAAAAGAGAACAAAAATAAAGATTAGTGCAGGATAATATCAATTCATTTGATTTCGTTAGGTTAACATCAGCCGCTTATAACCTATAATATTTAAGATCAAGACTATTGCAGATATTGACATACTAAGGTCATTAAAGATGAAAATGTGCATCGTGACGTAGAGAAGATTCCAAAGGGATTAATTATAACAGAAATAATTTATTCTCAAATAACAGTCTGTTACACGAGGCATGTCAGCTTAAGGGGAAAACCAAGTTGTTACAGAAGATACAGTCTTCACCGTATTAGGTTACTCCGTTAGGTTGATACTTCATAAGGTGCATTGTCCATAGAATTATGAGGTATAACACTTCTCACATGGGAATGTAGATAGTGGAAAGGTTAAAGTATGATTACTTAATCATGGACCGATTGATGTTAAGCTTCCATTGAAAACCTAGAATCACTGGACGGCCCTTCTGTTCTTTTGGGGGGCTCCTCAGTAGTGCGCAACCACGATCCCGCTCGCGGGATTTGAACCCGGGTCCTTCACTATCGCGCTCGTGCCCGCTAGTGACTAGCTTCGTGAGAAAATTCTCGGGGTTCTGGTGAGAAACCGTGACCATTGGAGCTAATCCGTGTCGGGTAAAAACAGGTGTCGATCTCAGCACAATGGAATATGGTCGCTCAACTTCGTGTAGTGATTGAGGTTAGACATTAACACCATTGGATGCCGGCTCAGTGGTCTAGTAGGTTAAGTGTTCTCGCGCGAGACTGAAGGCCCTGGGTTTGAATCCCGCGGGCAGGATCGCGGATGCGCGCTGCTGAGAAGTCCTACAATAGGACGAAACGGCCATCCAGTGCTCCCAGGTTTTAACAGATGGTTTAACATCAATCGGTTCATGATCTCAATAAAAAAATAAGCCTTTGTTAGTTACATCCACATCTAACCAATCAAATCGTTGTGTCAGTCTGGTCTGTTGTGTCTGCAGACCGTTCCTGTTGCATGTGACCTACCAGGTGAAGGATATTATTATCCCATTATTTTGTTGTGACCCATAATTTTTATTCATCTTGATAAGACACACAATACTGGTCGGCACAAACAGACAAAATTTAATGCCAAGGTGTCCTTGTTCTGACCACGGCGTTCATATAAACTATGGGATCGCCAGTATGGCGTTTACAGTTCTAGTAGTATATTTGTAGAACAAATTAAATCCCATAGCTCTTTCAGTTCATTTTAATTTTTAGGGATTTTCCAGAGTCATGTACAGGCCTCATTTTTAGCGAATTGTCTAGCTTTGCCTGAATAGGATTACTCGGTAGGGTCAGTAAGATCATAAATTTTCTTTTTCGGACCAATTGATAAGTTTGAGAAGGAATAATCCAGAACATTGAAGTAGTGATTAAAACTCAAAAAGATAACAGACATTAGATGATTGCGTAATGAAACATTTGAAACCAGATTAATTGTAATAAATAAAGGTATAAATTGAAATAATTATAATATATTTCTGTATGAGCAGGTACACGCCATTTTTACAGGTATGATCTATGAATAACAACATTTGTTGGCTCACAGCATGCTTCCCAACTTATTAAGTTTATAGTTGTTATAAAGTAGACTATTAGAGCGCTTGCTGTAAACTATGACCATGAGGAGACACGTACGTCAAGTCTGTTCCAGACGTCAGAAGTTCCATAGCTGTGCCCTCAGAGCAAGACTCTAAGGAAAGCAAAAAGATAAACAAAATAGCAGCAAGGCGATTGGATATCAACGCCAAACTTTGCTTAACATTTTGTAGTAGAACAGACAGAGGTATAATAAGTTAGATTAAATTCATATTATCTCTTGTTATAGTGAAATGAAGTCAGAGGCTCCATATGAGAGAATGTAGTAAGTTAGGAAGTGTGACAAAGAGTTGAAATAATGAGTGATGGAGTAAAAAGGATGTAATGTTATTAGGGCAAAAGATGATTTATTACTGCTCCTTTTTAGACACATCTGGTTTTAGACGTTTGATCGTTATTGCTCCGGCAAATTTCTGGATATAGGGGTTCAACTATGAATCGGTCACGCTGAAAGCCTTAAGTGCATCTTGTATCAAGGTAACGTCTCGAGATGGCGCCTCTGAATGTTTCGGAATACATTCTTCTAATCTGATGTAGGTTTTTCTTCCTGTTTTACCAATGTAACTACTTCTGTAGATACATGTCATCATACAGCTATGTAGCAGCGACCACGCGTTTTCGTTGTTCAAATCAGCGCACACTTTTTTGAAGGGCAGTGATTTTGCATCTGATGCGAATCAACCTGCTTCTGAGTATTTATTGTATCAAAGCATACTTGGTCTACTTTAACTTGAATTATTCCGGTTGAAGTTTGAAATTATGTCCAAATCTGCTCTGTGGCACTGTATGTTGAGTTCATCCACATTATAGTAGTTATCCTGAGTATTCTTCTTCGGGCTTTCTCTCTTCAAGTGGTCGGTTGTACTTATAAAGGTGGACAACCAAAATTTTTTTCCCTAAGGAGGAAAGAATGTAATGTGATGGGTGTAAAAAGTGGTTTCACAAGGTGTGAACCTGACTTAGTCCTACAGCATATAAAAGATCCTCGAAACCTGACTCTTATCGGCTTCTTGTGTTTTTCTATTAGAATAAGACATTACTGATCCATAAGGTGATAGGCCTTCCGGCGTTGGCCAGCGGGAAAGCTGATGGTGGTTGCACCGGTAACATGAGTAATGAAAGTGAAGAATGTGTCAAAGCAGTATTCACTATCACGGCACGAGCCAGTCATCCGACTATGGAACATGGAAGGGAAAATCCTCTTTAAAACAGATAAAGAGTAAAGTACCACTGGATATTGGTGGTTACGATTCCAAAGCAGCGCTTGAAGACCAGGACAAAACCCATGCCGTCTCAAGTCGTCCCTGTGTGGCTGTCCTAAGTAACGGGAAATGAATGGCAGAGTGGAAACAAAGAATAGAAAGAAGTGGCCATAAGCAGCAATCGTTTGGTCGACAGGTCTTCGGTAGGCTCCGATATTGGGGTTCGAGACACACCACCAGAGTTTTAAAGTGATATTAGACTTAATCGTAGCGCGCCTTGAAAGAGCTTGCTCACATCAAGTATGACTGTAAGTAATTTACTTGAATCTGACGACTCTGATTCAGAAACCAGACACGTTCATGACTTAGAAAAGGTAGGAGCACTGGTTCGTAGCATCTTACCAGATAACTCCACGGGAGTTCAAATCAATGAATCGATAGGAATAGATAAGGGGATCGAAGGAAATGTTGAAACTCAACCATATTATCCTCTTAGCGTAGTCCTAGGGTGGGATAAATAACGAATGCTTGTTAACCACGGCCCGAAGTCACGATAACACCAAAATTTGTATGAGACCTGACATATCCTTAGAATATTGGATGAAAAGGAACGAGGCGTTGTGTAAAAAAGAAAGTCGTCAGTAAACTTTTTAAGAAACCCTCCAGGTAATGGACTTTTGAGTGGTATAGTCTTGGAATCAAGTCTACCAAGGCCTGTATGTGTAGGTTATTCACTTTAAGAGGTCTATATACAAGTACTCGCAGTCTGGAAAATAAGTTCTATGAACTAGGAGTACTAGTGGACAAATTATAGCTACCTATCATAGCCTTGGGCGATACTCGGTTAGTTCATCACCCTGAAGTCATCCTAGAATTATC